CATCACAGTGGAGATACGAATCCTGGCAACTGAGCCTGCCTACTTTGGGCTGTTCCACAATGCAGACTGCGGATGGACGCACAGAGTCATCAGGCATGCCCACAGATTGTGAATGCCAGTTGTGGGTGTTGCTGAGCGACAAAAAGATAATGGTTCGTCCGAATGCTGTCGGTCCCAAGTGCATGCTCTTCTTCACCGCCTCAGAGAGGCGGATTACAAGCAGACGAGGGTATTTGTTGCGAGGGCAAGAACGGCATCTCAGACAGCCATGTCAGCTCCCGAGACCAACCGGGTCTCGACTGAGGGGTGGCGGATGTTTCGGGGGGCCATAGCAAGTGGACAGACAAGCAGAGAACTGACTGTATGCACAGTCATCGGTATCGAAGGTGCGACTGGCTTTTCCGAGACCCGCCTGTGCTACGCATTCTCTAAAGCAGACGAGCCAGCCCGGCGCGAACAATGGACAACGAATGCCAAAAGCTCAACTAATACGCGATGGTGGCCACCGCCAACACTTTGCCGCGTCGTATCCGTTCACGACCGGTCTGGCCGGGACGGTTCGTCTCTCCCAACAAGCGGTCAGGTGAAAAGTGGCTCACATCCTCTGGTGAAGGTAGTAAAAACAAATGACTCGACAAGCCTGACTGCTCATTGAAGAAGATAGGAAGGGGACAGAAATTTGCCTCTTGCAAGATCAGGTTGGCCAATACCGACTCTTTAAAGTCTCATCAGCACCCAAAGCAGGCCTCAAACTCTGGCTGTGCTAGTGTAGTGTATAATCTCGACACGTTGCTCACTACGATACACTGCTATGAGTGCCTTCGGGTCACAGGGAAGAAAGAAATTGCAAGAAAAGCTACGATTTTCCCATTAAAAAGTTCTGTGATGGGAGTGTCGACGAAGAAAAGTTGTATTTGCTATAGCAATCTATTAAATTAATTATTTTCTGTTTTTAAGTAGACTTTATCAGAGTTACTTTTAGTCTCGAAAAACTACTCAAAAAAGGAAAATGAGTAATACAGTCAGTTGTCATAGCAAATGCAACATTGCTTCGTCGACAATTCCGCCACAAAAATGTGGTGTGGGAAAGGCCTAGGCTTCCTTGAAATCCACATCTGCCATATGGCCTAAGGGCACTCGTGGGACTTTATCGTAGTGGTCAACGTGTCGAGACTACACACTCCACTGTCACAAGCCGGGTTCGAGTCCCGTTGGGGGTGCTTATGAGACCACTTCAAGCGAGATCTAGAGAGCATTACCAACCAAACTGGATGATAATACCTTTTGGGAAGCAAGTCAATGTGAAATTCAGTAGAAACATGAAACCTACTCATATGATTGTGGAAAAAATTCAACTACCAAACCTTTAATACCTCAAACGAAATAGGGTGAATACAGTTTCTTTATATAATGTATAATAATGTATCTAGAAAAGATCTGCAAATATAGGACGATTTTAGTGAACAATTTTGACAACTGCGGGTTTAGACGAATCTCTTAATAATACACTGTTGTCGAGACTTTCATTTCATAGGAAAGTGCACAATTAAGATATTTGTAGGTCGATCCGGGGTCGGATTCTTCTTGGCCAGCTGTCGGCAGGCTCTATTGGAGCATTCTAATTGACATTGTCGTTGAGGCGATTTAATTCGACCTAAGTGCTTAACCCTTGTCTATTATAGGGCGGGCATCATCCGAGCGGGGTATAAGTCTTGCAACCATGCTCAAGCTATATCCCAAATTACTATATATATATATCTCTCTCTCTCTCTCTATATATATATATATCATAAATTTGTTAATTTTGATTGAGCATAAAGTTAGTCAAAGTCACAGTTCACTTGAGAAGCATGTGAGTGTGTATGGTTGTGCATGAGTATACCACTTAATGTGTATGTAAATGGAAATAAACTCAAAAATTATGACACAAAAGAGTCCTCTAAATCCAACTTTTCTTTGTATATTAATGGAAGAAACCAGCTCAAGGTAATATGAGTATAAATAAGCCTCTTAATTTACATGGTTTGACTGGAATTCACAAACATGTCGCCTCACGAATATATACAGTCTTCAATGAAAAATTCTGACATCTTTGTTATGTTGATGAAAAATTTATAGAACAGAGAGATTTGGTTGTAAATATGAAGAAACAATGGGCACAGAAGACCTCCTATATAGCCTAATGCGATTAATCCTTTCGTTTGCACGAATAAATAGCTTGGAAGGGGTTTGATTAAGGTTCGCCCCAGAAGCGAAGGAAGATCGTCTTGGAGTGGAGATAGTAGGATTATGTGAGGAACTACTCGGCTCACCTTCCCACAAATTACCCGAATTACTCTGGCAGAAGACACAGGACTGGATACGTCTTTCACCATTAATAAGTTTGAAAAACCAGGTGAAACCTGCTCTTAATACTTGCCTACTTTAGCATTTCGTTTGATTTTCGTCGTTAATGATTTCAGACTTCGAAGATATCTGCCATGGAGCGAAAGACAAATGCTCAGCACGGACTCATCGAGGTTCGAAGGGCGTTGAGGTGGGGACTTCTTTGCACAATCTAACAGTCTCCACTCTAAGTGACTCCTACTTTGGGCTCCGATGAGACCAATTCACCATTTCCTTTATTCTAACGGAGAGTTCAACAACATTAGAGTTGGATTGACCTTATTTTCGCGACTTGGTCGTGTTGTCAAGGCGACCTTGTCCCGAGTTTTCTACCAAAGTAGTCTTGCTAATTTCTAGCCTAAGTCCGTTGACATGGTACACACTCAAACATTTTGCCGGCATTGTTAGTGAGCCTTGGCAGTCTATGCATCAAACTTCACTTCGTATCAGAGACAAATGAAGTCCGTTACTTGACCAACTTTCTGCTGAATGATTGAGGGGGGAGATATGATGATATAAGATAGATGGATGTTCCGATACAGAAGGAGGAAAGAGTTGATCAAGGAATTGACTTCTCCTGTCTTTCTGGCGAATTGTAATTTGGACTTAAGACTGACGAGGCTAACTGATAAAGCAGACTATGATGCCGACTAGGTTATCGACTATGATGCCGACTAGGTTATCGACTATGATGCCGGATAAATTTTCTAGAATGTTCTAAGTTGAAGGTCCAAGGCTGAAAATTCTCGGGACTTATAAGACAGAGGACTCTGAACAAGATATGTTCGTCTAGGTCGCCTTGGCAACACGAACAAGTTGCGAAAATTATATAAAACCATTTCTGGAAAAGTATGGGAGACCGCAACCTAAAGAGAGGTCTTCATACCACCAATTAAATAGTAGAGTTGTTTCTTAGTCTTAACGTAGTGTAAATGTATATGAGTAGTATCAGCTCGACTCTCAAAGAATATACCGAGAAAAAGATGATATAAATAATTATCCATGACATTAACAAGTTAATAATGAGCAGAACAATTTTCGCCTTAAAAGTAGATTGTATGGAAAAGCATTAGGCTAAGTCATGGAATCCTCTTCCTCTCCAAGTCAGGCAAACACCTACAGGGTTCATTTAGAGGTTAGCCCAATTCAAGAGACTCGCCTTTTTCCCAAGTCTTCGGTAAGGTATATGGACCCCTAATTTACAGTTTGGCGGCGCGGTAAATAGAA